TGATCAGAGCTGCATATTCAATTGAGCTCTTCTTTGAGCTATCCACAGAGATGCCCAGTTTTCTTTCCTGAGATGATACTATTAATTTAGAACCCTTTAGGGTGTATGAATAGTTTAACATTTTCACTCTAATATCATTACTTTTCAGTTATGAACACCGAACTTCATTCCCCATTGTGTTGCCCATTCACCTACCTTGGTTAGATCCCTCTGAAGTTCTTCACGGTCCTCTCTGGACTTCACTTCTCTTGGGGTACGTCTACACTTACCGTAGGGTCCGGCGGCAGACAATCGATGTTCTGGGATCGATCCCGGAAGTGCTCGCCGTCGACGCCGGTACTCCAGCTCGGCGAGCGGAGTATGCGGCATCGACGGGGGAGCCTTCCTGCCGCGTCTGGACCCGCGGTACGTTCGGACAAAGGTACTTCGAATTCAGCTACGTTATTAATGTAGCTGAATTTGCGTACCTTAGTCCGAAGTGAGGGGGTAGTGTAGACCAGGCCTAAGAGACAGGAGGCTTAGGTGCCTAAGCCATTCTTGCATGAAATGCAGAAGGAAGTAGTGACTCCTCCCTTATAACTTTGAGCTCAGTGATTAGAGTGATCACCCAAGATATGGGGAAACCTGGGTTCAGTTCCCACCCGGTGTCTGATGAGAAGAACGGATTTGAACTTTTACTCTCAGGAGATTGCCCTGATCACTGAGCAATGGGATATTCTGATGTCAGTCTCCCTCAGTCTTGTCGAAGCTGTTCCACTTTGAACAAATAATTAAATAACTATTAGAGCAAGGGGACTGGACCCCATGTCTCCCACCTCTCAGGTGAGTGCCTTAACCAGCAGGCTCTCGCGCTCTCTCTCTCTCTTTTTTTTTTTTTTTGGTCCTGTGACTATTTAAATAGTTAAAGTGGAACAGCTTCAACAGGAGAGTCTGAGAAACATCAGAATATCCCGGAGTTCAGTGAGGGCACTCTTCTGAGAGGTGAGATGACCCCCTGTTCAAATCGTTTTTCCCCAACAGGCAGAAGGCAAAATTGAAGCTGGGTGTCCCACATCCTATGTGAGTGCTTTAACCACTGGACTACAAGTCAAAAGAGAGGGCGGAACCTCCTTCACCTCTGGCTGGATTTTGAATGGGCCCTGATCTACTAGGCATGCTCTGAGCAGGCCTACCACATTGGGTCTTGCTGGCAAGATAGGCAGGGGAATGCCTATGGTACCCCTGGTTTGAGGATCACACTGGGGCTTAGATGTGAGAGAGGCATACTGATGCCTAAAGTGAGGTACTGTGCATGTGCCCAGAGATCACAAATTTAAGTGTTATGGGGACTGCTACAGCAAAATTTAGGCATCTAGTGAGAGGTTTTGTGGATAACAGCGGTGCCTAAATCCCTTCATGGACCTTGGCCCTTCTCAAAAGCCTTTTGAAATTCACTACATTCTTGATAGATTCAACTAATTCTAATAGATTAGCAAACTATGATTTTCCTTTGAAGAAATCATTCTGAATATCATTATCTTCCAGATCTTTTAAATTCTATTTTAATTGTTGTTTCAACTAATTTACCAGGCTAGATGTAAAGTTTGCTGTTCTGTAATCATTTAGATCATCTCTAGTGCCTTTTTAAAAACATAGATATATTTGCTACCCTCCGGTCCTCTGATAAGGTGGCTGTTTTTAATGAGAGATTGCATATTTTTGCTAACAGCCACTTCATATTTGAGCTCTTTCAGGACTCTTGGGTTCATACTATCTGGACCTGTTGACTTATTTTTTAAATTATGAATTAGTTCCACCACTAGTTCTTCTGACACCTTAATCTATGAGAATACTGCATCTCTCTTACCATAAAAGGGTGAGTTGAAGGTAAGTCTCTCCCCATTACATGGTCGTCCCAGGTCAGCTGACTCGGACTCACAGAGCTCGGGCTACGGGGCTATAAATTGCAACATAGATGTTCAGGCTTGGGCTGGAGACCCACGGGTCTCAAAGCCCAGGTTCCAGCCTGATACTGAATGTCTACGCAGCAATTTTATAGCCCATACATAGTCCAAACCCCTCGAGCCCAAGTCAGCTGACCCAGGCTCTGAGACTCAGCGCTGCAGGTTTTTTTTTATCACAGTGTGGACATACCCATTGATTTACTTCTTGCTTTCCTGGTTCTGTTTTTGTTCAGCACTACACATGCCTTATGAGATTATTATTGTTTTCTTAAGTAGCATCCCTGCCACTTGTAAGGATCTTATTTCCTTGATTTTTGTCTTTAGGACCCTTTTGAATACCCTTCTCTTTTACGTATCTCAAATGTGCCGCTTGGAGCTGTTGAATCATAGAAGATTAGGGTTGGAAGAGACCTCAGGAGGTCATCTAGTCCAACCCCCTGCTCAACGCAGAACCAACTCCAACTAAATCATCCCAGCTAGGGCTTTGTCAAGCCGGGCTTTAAAAACCTCTAAGGATGGAGATTCCACCACCTCCCTACGTAACCCATTCCAGTGCTTCACCACCCTCCTAGTGAAATAGTGTTTCCTAATATCCAACCTAGACCTCCCCCACTGCAACTTGAGACCATTGCTCCTTGTTCTGTCATCTGCCACCAGGTGGATCTTTGCAGTTTGCCATTGTCTAGTTCAGTGGTTCTCAAATGTATTTGATGGTGCCCCCTTCTTTGTGTCATAGTAGTTTAGGCTTCACCACCACCATACAAGTACATATACTGATAAAACCAGTACTGCTCACTAAACTAATATTTAGTGAGTAGCACTCACTAAATATTAAAAATAGTAAGGCATTGATTCAAACCGAGCCAATGGTCCGTTTTAATAAGAGCAAAAGCAAAACTGCAAGTGTGGTAGATGCTTACAACTAAATGTGCTCACAGCATCCTTGAAAACGGATTAATGTACACATGGCAATGACTTTGTACAATGCTATGAAATCCATCAAAATGCACAGCGCCATCTGAGGACTGGATATGTCTGGAGGAATGAGCTTTGCTAGTTATTCGTTGCTGTGGGTAAAATGTGCACAGTATGTTGATTTTTTTAACTAAATCTGCTCACGCCCCCCTCAGAATATATTGTATGCCCCTCCCCCAGGGCAGCCCACCCCCAGTTGAAGAACCTCTGGTCTAGTTTAAGACTGCACACAGACAGATCTTTTATTTGTCCTTAAATGTCATCCATTAGATTTGTGCAGTTACATAAAGGTAATTTGTGCCAGCAAAAGCCTTAATGGGTCCTGGGTGTTAGATATATTACAGCAGTCCCTCCGAAACTCTAATGAATGTCGTTAAAGAAATCAAGGTATGGTTAAGTGGTACAATAGAATGAGTAAATAGGGGCAAAGAGGTCATGTCTGGAGCCTGGAAGGGATTGGAATAACAAAATTATTTTAAGGCCAGGGCAGATAAAGACATATTCTGGATACTTTTAGAAACCCCTAAATTAGTTTACATATGATCTGCTTTTGTGTGTGTATATACTCACACAAACACACACACAGAGTGGAGAAGGCTAAAGAACTTATCAAACTGAGCAAATTTATTGTGAACTCAAGGCAGTGGCAGCTTATAAAAATAGAACAAAAGTCTCCAGCTTCTGAAAATGGTGCTGGGGAGCATTCCCAATCTAGTTTTAACCTACTCTCTCTGCTCAGTGGTGCAATTAGATTTTAATTCTTACCGGTACAATACCGATCCTCCCGTCCCCCACTCACAAAAAATGTTCTGTGACTAGAGCCCTGCACAGATCAAAATTTATACCCACAGATGCGGATATCCATGGAGATAAATCTGTATCCGCTGAACCACAGGGCTCTCCCGGGAACCACAACAGCGAAAGGAGCAGAACATGGGGCCGCTGCTCTCAGGAGCCAGCGCCCTGCGCCGGCAGCTCCTCCAATGAAACTGTACCATCCCCAGCCCTTCCACGCAGCTGTACAGCCCCGCCGGAGGACAAGGCTAGGGGCGGTACAGCCGCTTTGGAGGAGCTGCCAGCACAGGGTGCTGGCTCTTGGGAGCAGCAACCCCACGTTCTGCTCCTTTCATCGCTGTGGTTCCCGGGAGAGCCCTGCAGTTCAGCAGATACCGATTTCTCTGTGGATATCCACATCCGCAGGTATAAATTTGTATCCGTGCAGGGCTCTACAATTCATTCTTGAAAATGTGTCTTTCTGGTACGGCGTACCAGCAATAAATGTCTTAATAATAATATATGGAGATATACCTATCTCATAGATCTGGAAGGGACCCTGAAAGGTCATTGAGTCCAGTCCCCTGCCTTCACTAGCAGGACCAAGTACTGATTTTTGCCCCAGATCCCTAAGTGGCCCTCTCAAGGGTTGAACTCATAACCCTGGGTTTAGCAGGCCAATGCTCAAACCACTGAGCTATCCCTCCCCCCATAATGGTATGGTGTACCTGACTGTACCGGCTTACTTGCACCATTGTCTATGCTGAGTGTATACCTTGATGCAGTACATACCAACAGAGACAGCTGCTTTCTGGTGTTTAACATGCCAGCTCCAAGTAATGCCTGGGCCTGGTGCCTAGGGCTATATTCATTGAGCTCTTTTTCTGACCTTTCTGATTTCAGTCTGCGAGTCCCCAGCAATGTGTAAAATAGAGGGACATTACTTCCGGCTATTACCAGGCTTTTATCTGATTCATTTTACATTTGTTGGAGTGGCTAAATACACTCCCTTTTGCCCCCCAAAAGAAAGCTGTCATCACTTGAGAGCACGCTCTTGTACCTTGCAATGTTCTCTTTTTTCCTTCAATCTCATTTCCCCCCTTCCCTTTGGCCTCACATTTTTCTTTCTGTCTTAAAGCATAAAAGCAATTCTGTTTCTCCTAGTCTTATATTGGCTTTTAAGAAAATAAACAGAAAAGTGACTTGGCAGCTGTCTTCCTATGTGCTGTCCTTTGCTTGCCTGCAGCTCTCGTTCAGCTTGGAAATGTGGAATCATGTCTCCTCTGTCTCTTTTCTTCACCAATTAAGGTCTCTCCAGGATCTCTCCAGGCAGACGGATATTCCTTATGGCACTGTCTTGGACTCTGCAGTCTATGAGCATGTTCGAGTGAAGGGGATGAATCCTTTTGAGAGGGACAGCATGTATTCTCAAATGTGGCGGATGATTAACAGAAGTAACGGCTCAGAGAATAATGTGCTGGAGTCACCAGCAGGCATTCAGAAGGTATGAGGCATGGTTTACCTTTTCCTTGACAATCAGAGATGCTCTGTTGTAATGCTGGATTTTTTTTTAATTGTTTTTTAACATTTGGAGCTGCATTTGCACATAGGACAATGATCTTACCTAATCAATTTATAGCTCATTGCTCCAGCGCAAAGGATTGGGCGCTCTCCGCTCAGTTCCCTTTGGGCAGTTTTCCATTACATTTTAAAATGCAAGTCCAAAAAATATTTGCTCTGAAAACGATTGAGGATTTAGAGATCTGAAAGAAGAATACATTTGTCAGAATCCAAAATGAGGGTGGGATCACGGGACTTTAATAACAGAAGACATCGCAGTGTACTGTACAAAGTGCTTACTGTAGGTTTGAATGCAAAATAGAGATTTGTTTTTAGACTTCTGACTCTGAAAACTTAATCTTTCAGTTATGGTTATGAATCCTATGTGTTATGCGGAAAGCAGGCAGAAAAGCATGACCTTGTTTAAAAAAACTTCACAGCAATCTCTTAAACTTGATTTGCTATGGGAAAACAAAATTATGTAAAAACTTTTTTTGTCAAGTGAATTCTTAGAAAAAGTCAAGTAAACAGGAGAGATTTTGTATTTAAGATCACCTATCCATTAAATAGCACAGAATGAGATTGTGAATATTTTTCATCAGTGACTTCAATGGGAATTGCATCTGTGTGAATGAGAACAGAACAAAATTCATCCCTATGATAACATCTCCAAATTGAAAATTGAAAATTTATTCTATAAAATAGGGCCCTGAGAAAACAGCATATTTTGTTATTTTAGCTGGGCCTTATTTTATAGGGTTCATTTAAATTTGAAGATAGGGAGAATTAATTATAATAGAAAACTGAACTGTTGCATGTTTCCTCATTGAAGATTTAGTTATTCAATCTTTTTTAGATCTGTCAAAATCCAATCAAGCCATTTCAGAGCTGTTCCCTTTTGTTTCTACTGAAATTCACTTCCTAGGATATCCCATACATCCATGGTGTTGTGACAGTTGATGAGAGCACATAAAGGAAAGGGTCTTTTTAAAAAGCAATGATGAAGCCATTTTCTACTGGTGATCTCTTGATAATAAAAGAGCTACAAGATAACAACTGTTTAGGAGTTTGATAAACAAGTGACTTCACCCACCGCCATTATAGCTTGGATTATATTTTCCAACTCAAAGATTTACCAGACACTAAATGTCATGAAAGAGGGGAAGATGGGAAGGGCCAGGGGACATGCACTTATGAAATCCTTCTAGAATGTGTCATAAGCTGAAATACGTTTGATGTATACCTTTCTAAAGTGCCAGAGAAAGGGACAGCTGAAGATTGATTGGCCAAGGGAAAAGGCATTTTTGAGAAAATATATTTTGGTCCAGTTTGCAAGGTGCCTATAGAGCTGGGAAGCTCCTTTAAAAAAAAAAATCCATCACTGTGACTTGCCTGCCAAAGTTATACCATGAGTTTCAGGACAATAAAAAACCAGAGCACATCAAACATAAGTGGGTGTTGACTAAAGCCCTTTAGCTGAGGAAAACAACCAGTGTATTACACTGGCAGGTAATTACAGATTACAGTCTTTGATTTCTAATTCCTGAAGACATGGTATTTGCTGTTTTTAAATTGACAGAAACAGCATTGTCTGAGTTGTTTAATTTCCCATAGCTTTGCTTTCCAGGAATAAGCAATTGCAAGTGATGGTATCAAAGAGCTAAGCTTTAGCAAAGCAGCGATCAGCCAACCTCTCTCTCTCTCTCTCTCTCTTTCCAAATAGCTGCAAGATCATTCCCAATGAATGTACGCTTCCATCCATTCCTGTATACGCATGCACATGCTCGCTCGCTCGCTCTCCCCACCCCATACACCTCACAGGAAGAAATGCCACAGAGAGAGAGAGAGAGAGAGAGACCCTTGCTGCTCAGACAGGTGACAAATAAATAGAAGGCTCTTTGAAGACTGAATTTAGCCTGGCCAGGAAGAAATATCTCTCTATAAGGAATTGGAAGCTCTATCTTTAAGATCTGTTTGAATCTTTCATCCTCACTTGGATGATAAATATGGTGTTATGTACCAACCCTGTGTACAAAAGAAAATTAAGACCAAAAAAATGTAACTGATAAGGCAGATTTTAATCTCTGTAAAATAACTCTAAAATGAAAGCATGCAGGTATTTCAGAGGACTTCATGGGTCCATTTGGCCCATTTACATTATTTTCATAAACTCATTCCCGACCTTGAAGAACAACTGGCCACCTCAGAGCTATTAACACAATAAGATTATAACCTCAAACAAACCAAACTAATTTTAGGTCTCATTTTGTGCTTCATTTTAATCACGCCATTGATTGGTGCTAAATCATGACTCGACAAGAAAAGAAATACATAAGCCAACACAAACAGCTTGCCAAGCAAATGTTTTTGAACTACTACTAAAAATTGAGTTTCCCCTAGGCCACCTAGTGTCCATGAAAAGACTCAGATACTGTGACTTAAGGATGTGTGTGTGTTGCAAATGAATATGTCAAACATCCTTTGCTTTAACTATACTCCCCTGCTGCATCCTCTCAAACGTAAATTAGATGTGCAGGCAGCCATTGCAAAGTGAAACTAGTTGGACAGCAGGACTACAGAGGCTATTTAAAAGGACACTCTCAAAAGATTTTTCATACAGTTTAAAATCCTTTTAATTTTTCTCTGTTTTTCACTCTGTTAATTATTGCTCATTTATTTCATTTATACTGAGAAAGCAACTTTTATTTTGAAAAACATGATACAGTGGAGACAAATTCAGTGCTGACTGACATCTCATGCAGTCCTATTGACTTCAGTGGGATTGCATGGGTTGTACATCAGTGATTTCAGTGGAAATTGCACCTGTACCTCCCCATATCCTGTGGCCCAGAGAAGGGGGGAAAATTGCAGAGAGGAGCGAGTCAGACTCCAGCTGGTAGAAGCAGAAACATCCAAAGCAGGGACCACTGGACATTGAGGGTGTGTCTACACTGGAATTAAACACCTGTAGCTGGCCTTGCAGGGCTTGGGCTACAGGGCTGTTCAACTGTGGTATAGATGTTCGGGCTCACGCTGGAGCCTGGACTCTGAAACCCTTCCTCCTTTTAGAGTCCCGGACCTTGGGCTCCAGTCTGAGCTCTAACATCTATACCGCAATTAAACAGGCCTTTAGCCTGAGCCCCATGAGCCCAAGACTGCTGACCAGCCGTGGGTGTTTAGACGCAGTGTAGACATATCCTGAGATAACGTTGTACTGTTTTGACTGGACTTTCTGTGCCCTGTGCTGATGGGCTATTTGTTCCAGCCCTCTCCCCCTCCCTCACAGTCTCTTCACCTGACCTCACTCCACACCTCCCCATTTTACCATCTTCTCCCTTGTCCTGTCCCTGTCACTTATCTTCCTTTCCTTTGTCTTTCCATTTCTCCCCCCATCCTCCAAAAAAAATTAATGGAACTAACATGCTGTTTGCTGCCATCACTTGTTCACTCTGCTGCTATGTTCTACCCCTTCCTCCACCCTGTGTCTGTCTTGTCTATTTAGATTGTAAACTCTTCTATTAATCTGTGTTTGTACACAATAAGGACCCATGCTTGGTGGGCCCTTAGGCACTACCATAGTAAACATGATTACTACTAATAATAATAATCTGTGTGTGTGAGAACACAGTTTAAGCCCTATGACAATATTTCTTTAGCTCTACTTGGATCAGGAAAGATGCAACTTTGGTATGGCCTTGGTCAGCTGAAATAGAGGCGGGGAAGGAGCCTAAGATGTAAACACGATGCTTTTTGAAATTTCTGTTTTTTGGCATATCCTGGTTCCGTTTTCCCCCATAAATCAGGTTAAGATATATATATCTATCATTGTGCATGCATTCATTCCTTCTACATCCACAGCACCTGACTGGCTCAGGTGTGGTTAAAGGATAGCTGGGTAGATTGATCTTGAATAGGTTAATAGAATTTGATACCTCAGAATATGTGACTGCCTGAGAAGCATAGGCACATTAAATATTTTCTTGTCTCCCATCATTTATTGTCTCCCTCTACTTCAGAAAATAAAACCATTGAAGGCCTGAACTGAAGGCATGGAAACAACCAGTTTTGTTTTCTAGCTACTTTGTCATATTAGAAGGAAAGGAAGATATCTGTATTTCTACATTTACTTTGGATTATTCTGGAGAATATTTCCTTTTATCTCTATTTTTTTCTTTATTATTCCTAAATACTCTGTGTATTCCAAATTGATTTTTCCTTTTTTGCATAGGTTATGAAATATGCATCTCATTCAGTCAAAAGAATCTCCATTTTCATGGCAGTTATTTGTTGTGAGCAGATTTACCAGGACCAAAGGCATGCTTGCTTAAACATTCATTGAGGACTCCCAAAAAAATCATTTAGGCTTAAATGTATCACATTACATACCTCTTTATGTCTTCTTAAAAAGCACAGTACCCTACTTAATCCTTTACAAGCACCACAGGCTTTCCTACCCTGGAACCTATTCCCACTTAAAATACAGTGAAGCACTTCCAGTGTGCCTTTGTCTGCTCTTTGATCTCTTGAGAATAATGGTGCCAAACACCCTCCCCTCCCCACCTTGTTCCTCCATACATGATATCCTAGCCTACAGCATATGCATTTTCCTCAGGAGTGTGAAGTGGAAAATTCCTTTCCCAAGTTGCATTGGCAGAATCATAATGCATTTGATACCTCCATATATTTAAGTCAGTATACAAAATATTTAGCCTGTAGGAAGCTTGTGAGTTACTGTCAAGTGAAATAATGCTTCTGAACTGTGCAATAAAAGAAGCTTGCCTCAGCCTCCGAAGCACAGCACATTAATATTCTCTCCCTTATCCACATATAGATACACACAATAGCAGAAAAAGTTTGTCCCTGAGTTTTTGCTTCTCTTTTTCTTGTGATGATTTCTCATTTTGAACAAACATTCCCTTTAGATTGTATCTATATTGTAGTTAG